AACATTGTAGAATATTGAACTATGATGTGCACAGCTATTGATATCACCATATGAGGCACATATAATTCAAGTCTGTCACAATTCAAATACATAGTCCCCCTTATTCTGCGAGTCACGTGACTCTCTCTCACCGGTGAGGTGACAATTGTCACCTCACCGGTGACAGAGAGTCACGTGACTCGCAGAATAAGGGGGAGTATTCAGGCATGGTTCATAGCATAAGATTAAGATTCACACATGAAATGGATGTGTTTCACAAAATGAAGTATGAGACACATGATGATGACGTGTGCAATTTTTTGAGTGTATGCACGTGCCACAACACAACTGGGAAAATATCAACCTGATGAATATTCGGCTCTGCACTCAAAATAATCGACACGTTATAGTTACGTGAAAAATCACGTAGAGTGCTTTGCCGTCAATTTTACATGACCCATTTAGAATCTACATGACACCACTTATATATGAGGGGAAATTCCTTTTGAAGCCGCTACATTTTTTAATGAAGTTTACGTGATTTATCCATACACAGATTCTATGCGCGAAATCAAGAATACATATTATTTGAATCGTACCAGAATTAACACCATGAGCTGTACTGAAAGAATCACGGAACTTCTACGTGATAATCCAGTGACGTTGAAGCTCACTCAAATGAGTGCTTCCATATGAGAATCACGTAACGATTACGTGGAAAGTGCGATGGAAAAAAAATCTATGTTTGTTTTCACGTAGCATCAACGTGAAAATTATTTTGAGTGTGGGTTATTCCGGGGAAATCGAAGGCAACACTCAAGAAGACTGGAAACTTTCTATTTTTCCATACGCCCACTATAAGACAGGCACGATCGCGTCATCTGCCGCTCAAAGAAGAGAAGCGGGGAAGAAAGATTTGTATATTTGCTCATTTCTCTATGCACTGAAACCGAATCTAACTCAGAGAGTGAGTCACTTTTACTCAGTTGTGAAACACTTTCACTCATTCGTATGGAGACATTCCTAAAAGCGTACACGCTATTTCAAACTACCCAAATTTGGGTACAATCCACCTAGATCGGTCAAAACTGAACCTACCCAAAAATGGGTAAACTGTGCTGGGAGTGTCAAGTTGATAAATCAGTGCCAACATTTCAATGGGGCGTAATTGCATTTGTAAACAATGGCTTTAGTCGTCAATTTCGCGCAAATGAGAGCTCACTCATGAAAATGAATGACACCAGCATGAAGAGGTATGTTTCATGTATCAGCTAGCATTTGTAATTTGGAGGGGTGGGTTTCCATTTGCGAGAAATCGACGTCTAAAGCCATTGTTTACAAAAGCAATTACGCCCCTTTGAAATGTTGGCACTGAAATGAACAACGTCGATTGGATTCATGTCAATGTTGTTCATTTGTCAATTTGTCACTCCCAACACAGTTTACCCATTTTTGGGTAGGTTCAGTTTTGATCGATCTGGGTGGATTGTTCCCAAATTTGGGTAGTTTTGAAATAGCGTGTAGTAAACGACGCTTTTAGACATTTCTCCATACGAATGAGTAAAAATGACTCACTCTCTGCGTAAGATTCGTTTTCAGTGTGCGATGCTTCCACCTTCGCTCAAGCGCAGCGCTACTGTGCACCGAAAATAGTTTTCATGTACTCAAGTAGCACACTTTAGTCACAAACAGTTGCAGCAACTGGTTTGTGACTGAAATAAGATGCATTGATGTTTCCTCAACCGTTTTGTGACAAGTGTGGAACCCGGGTAGCTTCCATTGGAAACGCACATGATTTTCATCCATAATCAAACTTAATGGGATTTATTTGAATTCCACATAACATTTATGCGATCATGTTAATGTTATATGATTTGTTATAAGAATTTCATCGGCATCATAATATTCATGAATCCCACCACAAAGGATTTGCAGCTATGTGATCACAGGAAAGCTATGTGAAATTCACATAGATTTCATAAATTAGATAGGTATGTGATAAAATTTTTGAGTGTATGCTTAAAATCTGGCAAAGTTGCCAGTCTTTTTGGCATGATGTCTTCGGGAAAATGGTATAGGATAGTAATATATCAAAATAATCGACACGTTACTGTTACGTGACAAAAATCACGTGGAGTCTTTTTTTTTCACTTTTGTGTTAAATTTACCTGACACAAGTAGAGTCTACGTGATACCCCATATGTAGCAACGGGAAGTCCCTTTATATTCACTAGGTTTTTTAATGCAACGCACGTGGTTTGCACATACACAAATTCTATGTGCATTTCACGTAAACCATACATGATTTTCACATATGAAAAAATAAATGAGTGCCTCACTCATAATGGTACACAACATGGTGGAATTGCAAGTTGCATGTTTACATGCCAGTTAATATCTAGGGCTTATTTTTGTGAGACAATTTCGTGTTGTAAGTATAATGACTGAATATTGTATCACAGACAAAATGTATGGTGAGAATAATTTGTAACATGTTTCTTTGTTTTATTCTGACGACAAGGAGTACTATGGATTGAAATGCGAGTTAAATGCCTTGTATCATATGTGTCCCATATTCTTCACGAGTCCAGCTTCGCTCAAATTAATTTCTTCTTCTGTGTATATATCTCTCACAATAAAGATACAATGGTCAAGAAATACTGCATGCTATTTTTTTCATTTGAAATCAAGAAAAACATTTAATTTAAACCGGAATAAAAATCATTGAAAACCACCATGAATTCCATCGAAAGAATCACATAGCTTCTACGTGATAATTCCGTGACCATCTCGCTCACTGAAATGAGTGCTTTCATATGAGAATCACGTAACACTTACGTGAAAAGTGCGATGAAAAAAAAACCTATGTATGTTTTTACAAAGCATTGACGTGAAAATTATTTTTAATGTGTACTTTTTAAATAATTTTAGAATTTTATTTTTATTTGTATGACATTCTACGAAACTACGTTCGGGGAAATGGGATATACGGGGATAATGCCGTCCGAGAAAACGACATCCGGGATAATGTAGCACAATCAAGATAGACACATTGGCGACATCTGCCGCTCAACGGTAAATGCTCCGAAGCAAAGATTCCATCCTCAGAAGAAAGGTTTGGCTAGTTGCACATTTTTCCTTGCGTTGCTTTCACCTTCGCTCAAACGCCGGGCTAGCGTTTCTGCACAGAACAGAAGGGGAAGTGCAAACAAATCGGTGAATCAAAAAGTGTTCGTTTTTCTGCTCAACAAGCGATGTGTTGTGCTAGCGTTCCACACGGGCTTTCTATGAGCACTCACACTATCATAGCATGCTGCCTATCTTAACTGCAGGCAGAAGATGCCTTCTACCGCTAGGTGCGCTAGTGTTCGCAAATGACAAGTGGAGCCACTTTCTGATCCGAAGTTCCACTCCTGTGGTTTCTGTCGCTTGGATTCTGGCAAAGTTGCCAGTCTTCTTGATGGCTTCGGTAAAATTTAAGCTCAATTTTGAGAAGCCTCACTTTTTAAACGACAATGAGTGAAATCCTACTCAATGTTGAGATGATTCCGTAGGCCGTTTATAGACTGTACATGGCTTTCTCTAAAATGACACGACTCGTACTACGGGTCTTTCGTATTGTTATGCTTTACTTTTTAGCTCGATTCCCTGTCCGATTCGGCCTTTTTTATTTAACACATTTCTTCTCTGCTGGATTTGCTTTGTATTTTCTGTTTTGTGTAGGCACTGCCTGCCTACACTCTTATATTGTATATTGATGGGTGATGAGATGTGAGAACTTCCTGTCCCTATATTTACACTACACTTCCGCTGTTTCTCCTCGCTAGCTGCCAACACCAATCAGCGTTTCCGATTTCCGTGTAGACCGTTTCTAGTTTCTTGTTTTCTCTACCAGTAAAGTTTTTTTTTAAGAAGGAAATTAAAGCGTTTTTAAATCCAGCTGATCGGCCGTATCGTAACACTTACAAGTTTCACTTACATTAAAAATAGACTTGTTTTTTTTGTAATTTGCCTTTTGCTTCTTAGGGTCAAGATTCGCTGGGACGAAAATTTCAATGATTTTTTCTTTAATTCTTGATTTTTAGATATGTTGAATTTTGCTTTTTCTTTGCGTCCGTTAATTTTGTTCTTCTTCCTCTGCTTCTTTATTTTTACATCATAATCGAATTTGCATTGTATAAGTACAATTGAATTTCACGCTTCGCCTTCACTTTTCAATTATTCTCAATGTTTTTTTTAGAATAAGTACAGTTTTGTTTAGGGTTCTCTAACCTAAGATTAAATATGGCAACCAAAGTTTCTTTACATCTCATTCAGAACGAAAAACGAGAGAAACAAAAACTTACAAATCCTAAATACGTTGTTTAGCGACAGTAACAAGTAAGTTAGTGATGTTACGTATTGTCAATTTGTTTAAAACATATAACCTTAACAATAAACATATTGCTAAATTAAACCCGTTCTCAATGAAAATGAATAATTACTTTTTACACTTTACAGCAAGCATGTCTGCTTTTTTAAATTCCAAAGGATGTAATGTACATCCCTTATTCGTCCGCGGAGCTTCACTCAAGCTTTTCCACCTTACCCTGCAATGCCCATCTGGTGGCGAGCACAGAAACCTCCCAAAGCTTGAACACCAACCGCGGAAAGTTATTCCCGTGCCTGCTTACTGCTAGCCGCTATACAAGTAATTCTTAACCCATTTTTTTAATTGAACGTTAAACACTACTAAAAATTAAACAATACTTTGTTTCGTTTGATGCGGTTCAAACTAAGCTCGAACTGAAGAAGGCAATCTGGCAGCATACTAATACAACTATGAAAATCGTCAACTTAAGCTATCATCATTTGCTGCCATTCCAAGCCTATTGGCTGAGGCGGCTATGGATGGCCGAAGGACCTTCCTTTCGACCATTCCACCACACACTCCTCATCGTCCTAATCAGTTTCTGGTAGATCTACTTTGTACACCGGCAGGGGAGGACTTGGAAGCTTACATTTTCTTCTCCTGCTGCTGCTTCTTCTTCTTCTTATGTTACAATCATCATGTGGGTTGAATATATGCTTCGCTTATTTGACTATCGCCGTTGAATGCATTGAATCATCATCAGTTGCTGTTGCTGTTGTTGTTGTTGTTGTTGTTGTTGCGGCTGCTGGTCGGTAGATTTCGGTTGGTCGACCTCGTTCGCTTGTTCTGCTTCCTTTTGCTGCTGCTGCTGTTGTTGTTGGTGCCGTAATTGTTAGGATGTCGTCGACAGGTCGTCCTTTAACCATTGGGGGATGGGACGGGAGCCGAGCTTTTTCAGCAGCTTGTTCAAGGCGCTGTTGTGGTTTTGGTAGTACCTGGAAGCAATGGGAACGAGATGGTGGGTTAGTTCTCTCGATCTGAATCGGAGTGGAAAAAAGATAGTGTAACAATATTGAGCGCAGGCCCCCCTGTCATACCACCCTGCCCAATCCTTACCTCTGCAACCACTTGGCACTCTTGTCGTCCATCGGCGGATACTGCCGGCCCTTCGATTTCCCCAGGCATTTGTTCTTGTTCTCGTTAACAATCTGGCAGTAGAAGCCCTTCTTATTGTCGAACCGCAGGTGTTCACTGTAGTCGAACATGGGAGACAGCTTCAGGAACCGCTGCAGCTCCATCATTATATCGACTGGATTGGACTTTAGCTGCTCCCCGTCGATGATGTGCAACTGCTGCTGCGGATAGTACGCCAACCATCGTTCCAAATGCTGAGCGTACTTGCCCGGATTGAGGCAACGGTTCCGTAGATCCCGCAGCGGCTTCGGCGCCGAATCACTTGCCATGATGACCTGAAATCATAGGATGACGTAAAATAGACTCGACAGAAGCTAAATTCCGTGAAACAAACCTGATAGAAACTGTAGTTGTTGGCAATCGGATCGCCGTGGGCTTTGATGTGCTGGTACCAGGAGTAGGCTCGCTTCGCCGGGGAAATCAGGATCGTGACTAGTTTAGCGTGTGGCAGCAGGGCATGAGCTCGGCGAGGAACCAGTTCCCCATCGAAATAGGTGGCCGACTTTTCAAACATGTACCTCCCGTTGGTTCCGTTCGGTTGGACGGGGAAGAAGTTCTGATACCAATCCAGTCCGCGGTAGTAGTTGTTCCCGTTGAAAAACTGAATCTCTTCGAAGGTGTCCGGATTCGGGAGATTGCTGGCGACCGAGGGGTGCAAGCTGAGGAAGGTGTACAGGGCAGTGGTTCCGGTTTTCTGGGGTCCGATGACTAGGAATTTTGGCAAGGTGTCGCAGCTTTTGTTCCGGGACCATATCTTGATGTGGCGTGGATCGTCGCACGGGTTACCCCAGATGGGGTCCGTTTCGTCCGGGTGTAGTTTGAAGTAGGTTTCTCCGAGCTGGAGCGGTGGAGCTGAGGTCAGTTTGAGATTGGTCCAGCAGCGAAGGAATTTGATGACGGATTCGAAGGTGTAGAGGGCAAGCCGATCGCTGCCGTAGTTGGACATGTGGGTCATGAAGATGTTGATGGGGTTGTAGACGATAGTTTGGAACAGTTCTCCACCTTGGATGGATTCGTCCAGCTTGTCGCGACCTCCGGGGTATCGGTCGATGTACATGGTGTGGGTGAATAGACCACAAGTTTGTCGTGGCAGGACCATGATGTTTCGGTGTATGAATCCGCGGCGCAGACGAGCCGGCCGAAGATGCGGGTATTCTTCAGTGGAGGTCACTTTGATGTTCCAGACCTTCTTCCAGGCCATGTAGAGAAGTTCGTGAGCGGGGTAGACTCCGGAGTGGTGCGGGGATACGGAATATCCGGAATCCGATGGGATGCCTTTCTCTTTGGCGAAGTCTTTGTTCAGTATCATATCGTTCATCAACGTGGTCAGGTTGTCGTACAGATGGGGCTGCTGGTGGTTCCACATGTGCGAGAACCAGGTGAACTGATCGACGCTTCGCAGGAGCATGTCGTCACCTAAGTTTTCATCGTGAGTTCCATGGTGGAAATATTTTCCGGAGAAGCCCAGATTGAACCGGAATCCCGGGACCATACTACGAATTCGGTTCTGGGTGGCAATTAGAGCGTGGACGTCGTCCTGTTTCAAGCGAGTTCCCTTCTCCCCTACGAAGATGTCATCGACGTCGATCAGTATCCTCCTTTCCAGGTTCAAACTCAACTGGCCGTGACTTAAGTAGGACAATGCATCCAGGAAGAGTAGCCTGTGCAACCAGAACTTCAACCCAGATCCGAACAATACCCTCTGAATTCCATCGACCCTTCCGTGATCCTGAATGACCGTTGCCAACGGAGGTTGAACTCCATCGGTGGGATAGTCCTGCGTATTTTTCTGAGCCCACTCCAGTGGCTCGTACGAACTGTGATTATGTTGGAAAATGGCCCAGTCTCCGCCGGGCAGCGGACCCCACGCCGTATCTCCAGCCCTGGTCAACCTCAAGACCGGCGATCCCGGATTGAGACTGGCATCCCGAAGCCGTAGGTTGGTGTGCACAAACAGTGGAAATCCGCGAAGCTGCGCTCCAACCAAGGTTTCCTCACTGGGCGCCACGAACCCTATGATTCCCACCGAATAGTCCCGACAGTACTTATCCAACAGCTGCCGGTTCCAGTTGTCCATTTGCAGGTACTTTTCCAGGTTCTCGAACACGATCACACCATACCGGCCCTTATCCTGGATCGTCAGGACCGGAACGTTCTTGCCGGCCACTTCCACTTTGTATCTGGAAGAAATGAAGAATTTTTGAAAAAAGTTAGTTAGTTACTGATCTGACAAATAGATGGCGCTGTTCGATAGATTGAGCTCAAGCCGCACAGTGCAATAAATCAAAAGTTTCCCAATAAAAGCTCCACTAGTTCCACCTCACGACGCTCACATACGTTCAAAGTCAAGGTACCGGACTGCACACACTATTTTTTGATAGCTTCCTCTGGTATCAGCAGTTTGTGGAATAGTAATGTAGGTTCGATTGGAAACTTTTCGGTTTTACATCATAAGTGGCCTGCTCTCGGAAAGTTATACGCTGTAGTAGATAACTAGGTACGGGAAGGAAAAGGATGGTAAACTTGTGAACTTTTTAACCGACCGACGACGATGTCTATAGCTCTTCCGGCATTGTGTTTGTCTGGGCCCGGGTTTCCTAGGAATGTAATTTGTGGAGTGCGTGACTTTTGGATTCAAGAAGTGAATTTATTTTCCGACCATACGAATGGAGCATGTGGTGGTTGGATATTTTCTAGTTTTCGATCTGCTTTTCCAGAGCGCAATCCAAGATGTTTTCGTTACAATTGATGGTGATTTAAAAGGACAACAGAGTGCCGGATTGATCTTAGGCATTTTTTTGAAAGATTGCTAGTTGTGCAACTGTTGATAATTACCGCATTTGTTTAGTGGTGAATTTCGTTTTAATCGAAAGTTAACGGCAATTGTACACTGAGGTAAATGAACGTAAGAATTCCATAAGATCCACTTATGGATTTTAGCCACAAGAAATCGGTATGAATTTCACTGATTTGCCTTATGAAAAATAATGTTGACAAAAAATAATAAAACAACGCAGACTGGAACCGAACCATGGACACTGAGATTACGGGGACGGTGTGCTGGCCACTCGTCTTTCAACGGTTGGGAAAATGAAATAGTTAAAGGCGTATAGAGACTGTTCCAGAAAGTATAAGCACACCTTATTTTAATGGTCACTTTGAATAAAATGAAATATTTCAACATGTTTTGGCTGCGTCCTTTTGTTTGCTCATTTCTGAATGACATAGCATCAAAAAAGTGCTCAGTTTTGCGTTTCCTGTCAAAATGCGTGGTCTTACTCCGGAACAACGAAAAAGTATCGTGCACAAATGGTGCACTGTGAGCGGACTCTCCTTGAGAAAATTGGCCAAGGAAGAAGGTGTAAGCGTCGGAGCGGTACGAACTGCGATTAAAAAATATAGAGAACAGTGTACGTTTGAAGATGCGCCGAAGAGTGGCCGGAAATCCGGTCCTGTAAGTCCGGATATCGATAAAAATTCCGGGTTTGGAGGCGAACCAGCCCCAGGCTGAAAGCCTCCCTAATAAAGATAAACCCTAATAAACGGGTACCATATACTGACGATATCTTAGATGGTGTGACCATACCACATAAAGTTGGGATGATATCTCGAATTAGTGGTTAGGCGCATCTTATGGTTATTGTTTATGCGGGAATTAATTAATTATCGATAAAAAGATCAGGGATGCCTACAAACGAAAACCAGCGACTTCCGTTCGTCATGCGTGCCAAAGAAAGACTTGGGCTAAAAACATACCGGAAGCAGAAAAAACCCAAAAGAAACCCAAAACAGGCCGCGTCCGTGAAACCACGGGCCCGCAAACTCTACGATTCGTTATTGTGTCGAAATTCTGTGTATGTGTGTGTGTGTATTCAATCTAACCCCCACTGGCCGGCAGTGGTATTATGGAAGAAATTTGCTTACAACAATCCTTGATGTAATAATTTAAAGCAAGTTTAGTCCGGTAGTTAGAAAGCGATAGCTCTACTGCAGCTTCAGCAACCCATTTCAGAATGCCTGGTAATTCACGTCCATTCCGAGGTTACTTTCACATACAATAAGCCCCGCATGTAAACACTACCATTATCATATTAATAATGGTACTGCAAACACACTTCCAGATTTCGAAACGTGATGTTTCGAAATCTGGCGCTGATTTAGTAATATATGGAAATATGCATTTATGATTGATTATAAATCAGATGGATCTCACCAAATTCTGCCTCCGAAAAAGGACCGGTTTGTTCACTCGCGGTAATCGAAAAAATCTTCCGCGTTGTTTTTACAACGCAACACGACATTTTGAATCACATTCGATGTTTTTCATTTGCACCGAATTTTTGCTTGACAACTCATTCGCGTGCATCCTCCGGAAGGCAGAACGCCAGCACCAAGCCTGTGTTCCATTTGGAGAATTTTCACTTAAATTTCATTCGTTATTGTGTCGAAATTCTGGGTGTATAATAATGAACGACGAAACGTACGTGAAACTAGATTACAAAACGCTTCTCGGACCATAATTCTATACTGTAAGCGAAGGCAAGGACATCCCCGAAACGGAGAAGGCAATTTTTACCGAAAAATTCGGTAAGAAGGTTATGGTTTGGCAGGCAATAGGCGAGTGTGGTAAAACATCTAGTCCGTACATCACAACGGAGACGATGAACACTCAGAAATACGTTAAGGAATGTCTCCAGAAGCGATTGTTGTCGATGATCAGGCAGCACACGAAGGTCAAGTACTATTTTGGCCTGATTTGGCGTCATGTCATTACGCAAAGGACACTTTAGAATGGTACAAAAGTCAATATGTATGTTTCGTGCCGAAAGACATGAATCCGCCGAACTGCCCGGAGGCACGGCCAATCGAGACTTTTTGAGCTTTAACCAAAGCAAAGCTTCGAAAATTAATAAAACCAGCGGACGACATCGAATTATTCAAAAAAAAAAATTGGCGAAAAATGGTCAAAATGGTGGGAAGTACCACTGTGCAGAAGCTAATGGGTCTTGATCGAGGAAAAGTTAGGAGTCTTGGCTATGATTAAATATGTTGATTAAACGAGAGTAAAATATCATTTGAAATACAAATACAAATATGATTTGCCAAATAAAATTATTAAAACTTAAAAAAACATGATTTTTTTGTTATTTTGAAAGTGTGCTTATACTTTCTGGAACAGTCTATAAGAGCTACCTCGTATTAGACGAAATTCATAAGTTTATTTGCCTCAGCGTATGCAGCATGAGAATTATTAACTGAACTGAATACGATTGATTGCCAAATGGACCTCACGTTTTAATTTGAGACAAGCATCCAAGATTGGACTCTACCTTAAGAAATACATGATAGCCGGCAGGCAGCGTGACAGCAATAGTGACATGTCGAAAATTTGTTCAACACAAGATATTGCAGCTGTGAATAGGCTTTCGATGGGTTGCATAGCCAGATTAAGTCCAGCAGCCCATAGATCAAAACAAAATTGTGTTGATAACATTTCGTGAATAGAGGGCGGGCTCTTCTCCCCATCAATTGGAACGTTCTGCCACACGATGGCTTGATTGGGTTTCTGGTTGTATAAACTTACTTCTGGAAGGAGTTTCGCGTAAGTGTCTCGGCTTATGGGTCCGTTCCACCGTTTTTGTCCCTTCATACAGGAGTATGATGAGTATGATAAGAAATCAAATCTTGATCAAGTCATGTAGTAGAAACAGTCCATTGCTATGTGCAGGCGTCTTGATACAATAGGTGGTAGTCTATCATCATCATCATCATCATCATTATCAAGATATTAATGCTTCCGCTAGCGATTGTGACTCCAAAAACAATTTTTTTTAGCTGCAGACCTGCTTATACAGGCAAAACTTAGCTGCATAAGGCAACCTGCTGTTTACTACTTATTTGTGTTTTATTATTAATGAGATTTTTAGACTTAAACTGGTTCATCTCTAGAGCCTCCAGATAAATGGGCACGGAGATTCCAGACGAGAACTCCCCGAAGGGTATCGTTACAGAGTTTTACAAAACAGAGTATTGTGTTTGTTACTATAGTGAAGAGGTTCCAAATTCCGGGTGGTTGCGTTTGGTCATGAGGGTGTTTGGCGGTGTCAAACTTTGTTGAATAATCTGGTTTCACGAAGAAAGATTAGTAGGGCCGCAATTTTTGTTGGATCGTTTGTAACGGTGTCGCGGATACTCCCGGGTATGCTGTAGCAGTTTTTAGCTTCTTCGTATTTTGGTCAGTGGCATATGACTTGTTCCACAGTTTGTGGTGTGAGGCCGGTCCGAAGACGGGATACTACGACCTGTAGTGGTGGGTCAACCCACCTGGTAGTATCCCAGGTAACAATTTGATGATTTAAAAGTGTTGTATATTCAGCCTTAGATTGAATATGTTCAGATTTTAAACATCTAAATCTGGTAATTTTAATCAGCCAATAGCTTAACAGTAATATACATTATAAGCTTTTTAAGGCATTAAATAAGTCTTTTCCAACCCTTGTTCAGCCTTCTAGTTTTATTTCAAAAATAATAATGAAAGACCGCTTCATATCTTATGCATTTATATGGAACTGCTTTAACTTGTTGCTGACTAATTGGATTTACATATTTATATTGTTGTCAGTATAACAATTGAAATCTTAAAACTAAAAACTAAAACTAAATCTTATGATTGCAACGATTTTTGCCTGAAATCATTATTTATTTTCTTGGACATTTCTTCTAAAGTCTCAACCAGGGTTCCTTCCATTCATTTAGGCTATAAAAATGTTTTATGAAATTATGGAATAATAAGATGTATGTATGTATGTATGTAAGGTAGCCACCATCCCTTCAAAGATCTTGTCTTGTATGCAGCTCCACTTAATAGCAAGATCAATTTGGGCTACCGATCTGAATTCACAATATCGCTGTATGAAGGGCCAAAAACGGAGGGGTGGACCCGTAAGCAGAGGCACTTACGCGAAATCCACGGGAATTTAAGAATCTCCTTCCAACGATACGATCCAACAAATCGAATAACACAATTCGCAATACTTATTAAGCTTCCTACAGGATGGTTTGTAAAGAAGGGCGCGTCAATCTCACTGAAACTGTTGAAGTAGAATTCACACCACCACAATCGAATCGGTAGGATAAAGAAAATGATAGTGTTTATTCCCTCCTAGACTCCGGTTGTCAT